TGAGTACCATAATAGACCTGTTCGATGATACATTTGTAATCAAATAGGGCACTTATCTATGCATAGTCCCAAGAAAATAAAATATGTAAATAGGAAATGAAAGACAGTGGTCGGGAAACGAGAGCAGGGATCAAAGAAGGAGGTTTTGAGTCCATGAAAGTAAAACCCTCCATCAACTATTTAGCAAGAACTAATATGGATCTGCCATACCTAACCCTAAAAATTAATGGTGTGAAAGTAGTAGGTCGTATAAATACTGGATTGGATTATTCAGTACCAAATGAAAATATATGGCAACAAAGCAAGAGAAATGATCAACAATTCAACTAAAAACTTGGAGTAAAGGTAACTTGTGTCTTGCAGAGGGAAGGTTGAACTGCCAACCGCTAGGATATTTTGAAGCAAAACTATTAGTAACAAATAGCATTGTGGACCAGTGTTTTGTTGTCATCAAATATTTGGCTGTATCTTGTCTTATTAGATTAGAATTCATTCAACAAAACGAAGTATCTCTTAACTTGTTCACAAATGTTCTTGAATTAATTGCGCCATCTGTTAGGCATCACTTTGGGACTGAAAAAATACCGCTTGAAGAAGTACAATGTTCACATTTAAAGAGTAAAGACTGTGAACAATTAAAGCAACTTGTGCTAAAATATGCCAATCGTTTTAACAATAAACCTGGCCTCACAGACTTTTCTGGACATAGTATTATAACCATGACAGAAAAGCCAGTGTTTAGTAAACCTTATCGTTATTCTCCCAGTAATTTAAAAATGCTACATTATCAAGTGGATGAAATGCTTCGTGATGGGTTAATTGAACCCTCCACTTCTTCTGAGGCTTCTCCTTTAGTTATTGTCAAGAAGAAGATTAATCATTTTAGGTTCTGTGTTGACTGCAGGAAGATAAATCAAGTATCAAGGGTCTGACCACTATCCATTGCCTCATATAAGTGATATTTTGAATGATTTGTCAGGGGTAACCTGTATCAGTGCATTTGATTTATCCAGTGGATATTGGCAAATACCTGTTAAGGTGGAGAATCGACATACAACTACCTTCATAATGGATAATGGGCTTTATCAATTTAAAATGATGACTTATGGCCTTAAAAATACACCTGTCACCTTCCAAAATCTTTAGTAAGAGCAACTGAATGTTCCAAGGCTTATATTGATGATATTATAATTTTCACCCACATATGAACAACACTTGGAAGACCTTGAATTGATTTTCTACAAGTTATATACAGCTAATCTTACTGTAAAAGTTTCTAAGAGCATATTTTGCCAATCAGAAGTATCGTATTTAGGATTTAAACTTTCTTCTGAAGGAATAGACACAAATGACGACAAAGTGAAAGATGTTACAGACTTTCCAACTCCAAGCAATTGCAAAGATTTAAACACATTCTTAGTATCTGTGCCTGGTATAATCAATTCATTCCAAACTTTGCTACAATTGTGAAACCTTTATATTAATTACAAAGGAAACGTATCAAGTGTAAATGGATCCCTCAGTGGAAGGATGCATTCCAGAAAGTAAAGCAGGCTTTATTTGAATCCCCTGTCTTGCAACTTCCAAGAAAAGGTGAGCACTATTGTTTTGTATACTGATACTTCAAATGTTGGATAAGAGCAGTTTTGTGTCAAAATGGTGTCATAGCATATGCCAGTAGAACACTGCACTCTATAGAAAGAAACTATACTACTACAGAATTAGAATGTCTAGCCATAGTCTGGGTTATAGCAAACGAGATTTTATGGTTATGGTTGTGTTTATCATTCATTTATTATTTCCTTCTATCGTTTAGTTTTCTATGAATTTTTAATTGCATTAAAACACTAACTCACCTTCTAGATAATCATTTGTATTTTGAGTAGGTATGTTTGTATGATGAACCTGACATAGCTTCCCTAGTGGTGATGTACAGATACTATTAATATAGCAGAAGAGTATGTAAAGTTATGAACACCTGACTTGTACTCTCGTGCCGTATTCTGTGAATAAGTACCCTGCCTGAAGCTTCACTAAGAGAGAGAGAGAGAGAGTCACGAGACACTTAGTGAACTATTGCTGTTTATCATTCCATATTGTTCTTGATATTGAAAGGTATTTTTGGTATATTGTATTTACTGTTGTTTTTTTTGTTCTTGTTTTGTTGTTTTTTATTTGGAATTAGTTTTTTTTTCTTTCTGCTTTTTTTTTCCTTATTGAATTATTTGAAATAATATTGATATTATTAATATTTATGATATATTATTGTGAAGTGCTGGCCAGGCACTTGTTTATTAACTGTGTTTTTGTAAGTGAATAAATTGTTGTTGTCGTTTTTTTGTTTTTGAACCCTGATTGTAGTAGCGTGTTCGTTTTAGACCATTACACATCTTTGTAAAACACCCAATACGAATAGTAAGTTCATCCACCTATAGCATATTTATAACACAATCCACATCGTAACACAATCTGCCTTTAAAAAAGACACGTATTAGCGCTAAATATGTAAATGAATACTATAAACACAAGTTGAGACAAGTTGAAATCTGTATGCAGTCCTACAAAAGTATAGTAACTTTATCCGCCTTTGTAAAACACATACAGTATGCCTAATAAGTATGCCTGTAGAACCTTAGTAAAATAATTCGCCCAGTAACATCATCCGAACACTATCTTTAGTAACACAATTCATCGATAGAAACACAGTCCGCCTTTGTAAAATGTGTTTAATGTTTTACTTATAAAGAAAGATTAAGTTATTAATCTTAATACTTTGTTTGTTACTATAAAGTTAGTGTCATGTTAATGTGTCTGCACTTGAGTAAGACAACTTCCAGCTGTCATGGCGGCCTAGTAACGTGCCACTAGCAGTCTAGTATTAGCAACTTTTATAACACTTTTCATATACGCATATGACCATTATGAGAGCAGGAATAGCAACTTCAGCAGATACGTTTTGTTTATGACTCCAGTTGCTGGTTATAGTAACCCGTTCCTTTGGTATACTTCTCTTTTATAAGGAATAAACACCTTCCCACATCTAGCTGCGGACGGTAGTTTTAGGGGTGGATTGTTATGGATTAAAGCACTGATATCTATTCTTACTTTTAGCTATATTATTAATGATATTCTTGCACATTCCAGGCTTGCGAATAGTGGTTAAATCTTTACCAATGTTTGTGTTCTATTTCTCAGAAATATTGTTTAGTAAGGTACATTCTATCTGATGATGACAAAACCTTGTTGAAACGTTGTACATTTGCTGTTATATTAAAGTTTTTCTTCATTACCCATTCAAGCCGTCTCCAGCCATTATTATTCTATCCTTTTAGAACATCATAATTTCTACCCAGATTTTGTTTACCTGCTTTTTATATGCAACACTTTTCCCTTTTGTCCCTATTGTTTGAAAGTTAAATGTCAATTTATGTATACATATATAATGTAAACATAAACATTATTTAAACAGTTAATATTTACATTAAAAGGAAGGACTGTGATAAAAACAGCAAGACCAAACCTATAATGAAATGGGACATATTTATAAAACAAAACAAAGTATAATGTTGGATACAAGATGTGTCTTGCGAAAGTAAGACCCGCATAACGGTGGGAATACACCGTTTATCAGTCTTAACTTCCGTTTTCAAAGCCTCTCATGTAAAGAATTAATGAAGAAAATAAATAATTATAATAATAAAATAAAAGAGCAAGATGTTAGTGCTCAAGCACACAACGTCCCACATCTATATCACCATTCACTGGCTGCAGACAGTTGTGGGAAGGTGACTACTATCAGAAGGAAAGAAAAAAACCACATGAGAAAGATATAATGTCCTACCATTGGGGATGGTGAGCAAAAAAACTTGCCGTATTTTTCGGAATATAACACGCACCCTTATTTTGAAGACAAAGTTTTGTGGGGAAAAAAGCTACAGTCGCATTTGAAAGATTTTTATTGAACAAAAATTCAATTTGATACTTTAAAAATTAGTATATGTTGTCCTAAACACAAAAGAGCTCAAAACATCAAAATAAGAAAATACCGTAAATCAAAAAAAGGTTTACTGTTATTTAGTTTGGTTCAAAACCTACAAAAATCTTCATTGCTTTTATTGTAATTTATTTTTGTATTATTTAGGAAGCATTATAAATAGTTATGTTTTTAAAAGGAAAAAAAACTACTATTGTTATAAATAACACATTCAATTGAACTAAACTATGCACGCCTATTTAAATATATTTACACATGGCTAGTGTATATCGTATATACACATATATATTATTCATACCTTCGATGTATAGGACGCAAGCAGATTTTGACATCAAATTTTGGGGTAAAAAAGTGCGTCTTATACACCTAAAAATACGGTACCTCCAGAAGTTGGCATTCCAGACCCCATTACGATAGTAAAATGTTAAATTAATCAGGTAATATTAGTATCACACTAGACAAATTATACTAGAATAAAACCCCTACAGAATTATCTTGTGTATATCTTGAAACTTTATCATATTACATTTTATGTGCTTAGATGGTTTTTAGAATGGAAATTGTGAATTGTGAGCCGGGTTTGAATCCGTGCGACACATCCCGCACTTTAAGCTACAGAAGCGTTATAAGAGTGAAAGTCAACTTCTCAGTGTGGTTTCCTTCCCTCTGGTCAGTAGTTTAAAATTACACACAGCGGTAGATAGCCTTAGTAACTTTGCCATAAATACAAATAAAGATTGGCTAATATTGAATTAAAAGTAGTTTGTTTTTAATAAGTTCACTGTAAAATCAGCAAAGTACTTTTAAAAAGAGAATATATCATATATATATATATATATCCTAAACAGACTTTGTCAGGGCTATATACTCATTTGACTGTATGATATTATGTTTCGTTGAGTGAAAATCAAAATTTATTTATTAGGATATTCAACCCTAACATTTAAAAATGTATATCAAAATACTGGCGTGTTTTACAATATATAAATTTTAATTCTTTGTCTAGGTGGTGTACCAGACCTCTCTACAGTAGCCAAGGAAGCTGTTGAAAATGAACCCATTCCGTTTTATGGTTGTGTAAGACATCTGTCTGTTAATGGAAAAGAGTACGACTTAACAGAAAACGGTCAATACTATATTTAAACTCGTTTCTATAAATTATAATTAATTCTGACTCCTACCTTCTATCTTTGTTTAGAATATTAACACTTTCGTGTTAAAGCAATTAAATATTTATTAAAATATGTGCAAATCAAAGTCATTCAAAATACTGGAACACGCTTACAAATTGAATAGGAGTAGAAGTGGTGAATAATATTTAATATTTATTCAATATACATTGATATAACTTTTATTGGGTACTTTAGTACAAAACCAGGAAGGTAGTTTGGAAATATAATGTAAAATTATTTTTCTCACGTCTTTGTGCTCCTTTAAGGAACTTAAACTGCATAAACTGGCTATTCCCAAAGTCTTAATGTTTGAAAGCACCTTAACAATCCATTTGTAATATATTACCATATGTAGAAAAGCAATTACAATATCTTAAAAATAGTTTATATCCTAGGCAAAGTTTATCAAATGATGCACATTTTCACGTGTATTTAAATCCTATTTAAAAACGGTACATTATTTTCACTTTAAGGATGTCACCCCTAAGAATAATCTATTGTTTGTCTTCTATAAGTTCACGTTTCTTTTTTATACCATGTCATTGAACATGCTCGCCCTTTCTGCCGTAGGGGCATTATAATGTGTCGGTCAACCCCAGTATTACTTGGTGAAAGAGTAGACCAAGTGTTCGTGGTGAGAGGTATTGAAACTTTGCCTTTCCTCTAGTCTATCACTGCTAGCCCTTGTGTAGCTTTGTGCGAAATTTAGAAGAAAAAAAACATTTTTTTTGTAGCCTCCACTATTAGGTGATAATTAGTTGAAAACTATCCGTTACTGATAAGCTGAAGTAGATTTTATATTAATTTGGGTGTTTCTGTGTCTCCTCATATTGTAAGCTTATAATAATTAAAAATATATAACTAATAGAGTTTAATTTCACCTAAACCTTAGGAATTTAATTAACCATCATCAGAGGATTTCCTATTCATACACAATAAATAACACCCTACCCCTTCCATATAAGCACGCTTAGAGAAATGTGTTTTGAGGTAGACTAGATTTGTTTGCAAATTCCTAAAAGTAAGAGCATTTAATATGTGAAATATAACATTAGCAACTTTAATGTTTTTAGGTTAAATGCTTGATTAAGAAATGTAACTTTCTTTAGAAATTGTGTTTAAACACAGGTTCAGTTGCTGGTAGAAATATTGAAGACTGTGATGGGACTCCTTGTGGTTTTTCAACTTGTAGAAATGGTGGAACATGTTCAATGCATTCGGAAGGAAACTTTGAATGTTATTGTACTGAGGTCAGGAGAAAGCCTTCCGCATTATACGTTTAAATACTAACGTTTATTTTTTGTTGTTGTTTTTTCATACATTGCTATATAATTACAAAAGAAAATCATTCTAAAAATAATTACAAAAAACAATGATTATTTTTAGTGAGGTATTTTTAGAGAATTAATTTTGTGTAAATATAAATAAAAACTACAATTTATATGCATCAATTTGCCCAAATTTGAAAAGTTTGTACTTAATATACTGAACATAAATGGGTACAGAATGTAAATTAAAATTCCTTTGATAATCTTGTTTGTATTACAAATTTTTAGTATTTTACAAGTAGTAATAGAGTTCTTGAAAATTATGTAGTGAAGATGTATGTAATCCATCTGTTACTAACCTATTACTAAGAAACCATTTCCATACTAAGCTTAATATACGATACTGCGTTAATTGCATTTTCCCATTTCCAAATTTCAGCATCAAATTAAATGTCTTATTAATGTACCCTACGTAAATTTTACTCCTAAGTCTAGAAAACGTGAAACATGAAAACATATAACTGTTGAATAGTTTTAGCATTAAATGTGTGTTACTGTTTAGGTAAAACACTCGTGAAACTATTAATAAATGTACAAAAATCTCCTTGGATTATGGGCACACGTAACTAAGCAATATTCTTTCATGTGAAAAGATGCTGTTGAAGATGTGGTCATAAGTACTTTTTATAACATTTGGGAATAGAAAGGTAAGGAAAATTTTGTTGAAATCCATAGCTTAATAAATGTAATACTTTATACATTACAATAACGATAGGTGTTTCTAGTGATGTCATGAATAACTGGTATAAGAGAAAAGGGTAACCAAGTACGACTTAATGGTTAAGTATAGACAAGAGCAGTCGTATTAGTTTAATAGTTATCACTCATTAATTGTACATTAAGGCCCGGCATGGCCAGGTGGTTAGGGCGCTCGACTAGTAATCTGAGGGTTGCGGGTTCGAATCCCCGTCACACCAAACATGCCAACCTCCGCCTTTGCCTGGTCCCAAGTCCAGGATGAGAAAGGAGGAGGGTTGGGCGCGGGGCTAGCAACTCCACCCCATAAAAACCAACCTGCTATAAGTAACTGCAACAACACCTTCCTATGCTCCACTGGGAGTTTACAGGAATAATAAAAACAAATTGTACATTAAGGAATTGAGCGAGTGTAAATTCAGACACTCCTATAGTATAATAGATGTAGTGGGCGAGTGTGGACTCAGCTAGAGTATGATATATTTAGTGGATGAGTGTAGATTCACAAATTCCTAAGAGTATGAATGATAGATGTAGTGAGACAGTCCTAGGGTACAACAAGTGCAGTTGCCAAGTTTATATTCGGATAGTCCTAGGGCACAATATACGTAGTGGGCGAGTGTATATATAGTGGCCGAGATTGAATTCAAACAGTCCTATGATATAATAGACATTGTGGGCGATTGTAGATTCAGACAGTCCTAAGGTATAATATATGTAGTGAGCAAGTGTAGATTCAGACATTCCTAGGGTATAATAGACGATTAAGACACTCTTAAAGTACAATAGACTGAGTACAATATTGTTTCTTACAATAAAGGACAAGAAAATACACAACCGCTTTTGTTTTAATATCCTGATAATAGTTGTAGTTTCTATATTTATGCATACTTTTTACATATATTGTTCTTAAAAGGACTCAAAAGCTCTTATTTTAACGAGAGAACTATTATAACACACATATTATCCATTATTTGAATGAGGCAGTTATTATAACCAATAATTTACGTTTTTGTCCAGAAAAGGACGATTATTTAATTCTCTATATTATTTAACATACCATTTCACTTTATAAGTATACACACACATATAATGCATGATTTCATTTTGCTACAACTAAAAATGATAAATGAATGACTTGCTATTTATCCATCCATTTTCTATAGAATATTCCCATGAAGATTAAAATTTCTTAAAACTTTGAGACTGTTTAATGTTAAGTCCACTGTTTGTTAAAAAATATCATACACATACAAGTGGTGTGGGCACTGATGTCAAGACAGCTGTTTGTTGGAGGTTATCACATGATCACACATACAGTGTGGTGCTGTGTGATATATTTCAACATACCAGTTAAAGAGAAGTCTTGACCCTCGTTCACTAGTCACATTGAAAAAAAAAACATTATGTGTTAGTTTCTACATCTTTCAAAACTTTATGTTCATTTCAACTTAATAGTCTTCCAAATACACAAATGAACATAACTGCCTTTTAACTATGATTCATCAATTATTTAATTTTATAGAAAATTAATAAATTACAAAACAGTATTCTGTAATTATCGTATATATAAACCTCACATTTCGTCATAGTCCAATATACTATCATGTAAGTAAAATTAACAAGTATCATACATACTTAACAAACACTCCAGGTACTATAAGCATCATAATTTATGAATTATATGAACTACTGGATTAGCTTTCATACAGTTTGTAAACGATAGTGAACATTTGTTCAAAAGTTCAGTTTAATTATCTCATGTTATAATTTCCATAGACTCAGAAAATATAAATTATGGATACTAAATGTTACAGATAACTAAAATCAGTGTTGCTATATATCAGATGATTTGTCCTTAAAAGGACACTTATTTTCATGTTTAGCTTTATAAGTCAGTTGAGTTTAAAGGATCTATGTAAATAACAATTACTCTTGTTACCTCTTTGTCTAATAGAGTTTGGTTCTTACTAACTTCATATAGTCTATACATTTGCTTTCTGACATGAGCCACGTGTTTGATATTCAAGACCACTGACTGGCTGGATAAACTTTGGTTTTAGAAAATATACAAGCAGGACATCAAGTTTAGAAAAGCTTTTGATTTTTTGTGTTTGCTAAGATAGATAATGATTTCATTTGAATGTAGAACACGTTATCTGATACACAATATTACTAAACGAAGAAGGTGATAAGTATGGTGATCAACAAGTCAATTATAATACATTGTCATTATTTATGTATTTACATTATACTTAACATTGAAAATATACCGTTTAAACTCTATATAATCATATGTTTTTACATAAATTCATTGTTCACCATACTTTAACTAGAGCTTTTGTATGTCACTGAATTTAGGAGTCAGTAAATTTAATTATACAATACAACGAATTATGTTTGTATGTACTGTTTCTAATTAGTGTTGATAAACTTGTTAGAAGTTCAGACATATCCTAATTTTTGATATCTGTCTACAACAAACAGTCTAATATTCAATCAAATGTGGGTCACATTTCAAATATATATAACCTGACCCTTTCACCACCAATAATCAGACTGATGTGGTTCTATTACATGTTAGAGAGAATTAAGAACCAGACTTTAAATTTTTAGTATATCATCATTATGTATATTTCTTTGCTTATAAATCTAATTTCTGTTTATTTGACACAGTAATGATTGTTCTCAGTCATATTCATTATATTAATAAATAATGTTTCCATGTTTTACTACTTACATACTATATTATATTTTAGTCTATTCTAAAGAAAAGAAACACTGCTGACATTAATGAAATGGCAAAAATGATCAAATCCAGCAGTGAAGAAGAAGTACTAAACAAAAAAAAAACAAGAATTAAGTTCTTCTACTATTATATAACCTGATTCCTCTCGTGCTTATCCTATTGGGAAAAACCATTACATCACTCTGAGTGTATATATATATATATATACTTATAAAGTGAAGCAGTATGTTAAATTATATAGAGAATTAAATAATCGTCCTTTTCAGGACAAAATATGCAAAGAAAATTATTGGTTATAATAACTGCCTATTTCAAATAATGGATAATATGTGTATTATAATAGTTGACTATCCAACGTACAAAGTAATTTTCATTTTAAGATTAAAAACACTTTTCTTTATCTGAAATTTGTCAAGTTGTGCAATCTCTATATTCTACTAGATAATAAAATAAAATAAAATAAAAATTTATATTTAATCTGTTATTTTATCGATATTAACTCTATATTGTGTTGATCGATTTCACCGACCTTGTAACCATCATAAAAATTAGGAAATAAATGTAAATTACATCCTTTGTTCTATAATAACTGCAAATTGTAATAGAAAACCACAAATGTTTATTATAAGTAGTTTAAAGCTCTTAGCAGTTTTATTGAACTTTGAACCATGTCTGACTAAAAATACCCTGACAGAAGTTAAAAATTACATGGTACACATGCATCGACATGACCCTATTGAACAGCATTATGCAGAAGCCTCTAGTGTGTATACCCCATGAAGGTTTATTTTATTATTTTTCTTTGATTATCTTACCTAACAACTTGCTCCCAGTGGCAGCGCGGTATGTCTGCGGACTTACAATGCTAGAAACTGGGTTTCGATACCCGTGGTGGGCAGAGCACAGATAGCCCATTGTGTATCTTTGTGCTTAAAATCAAAACAAACAAACCTAACAACTTTCTGTTTTTATGATTTTCATAATAGTAAACAGTTAAATGAATGAGCAATATAAAACTTCTTAATTAAATATCAAACATTTTTATTTATAGTAAAGCTTTATATTTCATTTGTTATTTTTTGTTCTGTAACATTATACTTATTTCTCAAGGCCATCCCTAATTTAAAATGAAGAAGAGAGAATCCTTTGAAAATCACAATCAAATGAAAGAAGTTCCTGAAGTTTGTTTGTTTGTTATGCATTTTGCACAAAGCTACATGAGGGCTATCTGCGCTAGCCATCCCTAATTTAGCAATGTAATACTAGAGGGAAGGCAGCTAGTCATCACCACCCAATGCCAATTCTTGGTCTACTCTTTTACCAACAAATAGTGGGATTGACCATCACATTATAATGCCCCCACAACTGAAAGGGCAAGCATGTTTGGTGGGATGAGAATTCGAACCCGCGACTCGCAGATTGCGAGTCGACCTCCCTAACCACCTCGCCATGACAGGCTTTACAAAAATTGTAAAAA